TGATGGCAGCTTCCCGGTGAAAAGAAACCCCCGCTAACTTCAACTGTTTTGGCGGCAACCACAAAAAGGCTTTCTCACCCCAAGCGCCTGCCAGTGACAAAAAGAAAGTGAGTAGAAATTCAATTGAACGTCCTTTATTTAACCAGGTGACAGCCCCTGAGATTACTCCCTTTTTTCAAAGGCAGGGCCCAAATGGGTATAGTTACGTAAGAATGAGGGCGGGGGTTGGTGGGTGGCTGAGTGGGTGGCTGGTGGGATAGTTGCAATTTTGTCGCACGTCATTTTTAAAAATTTGCGACTTGGGTTATAACAGCGGCAAATAAACGCCCAGCCGTGGGAACGATGTCGCTCGGTGTTGAATGTGCACTCTCCATCGGAAGGCGCGTTGTGTAATTGCCCCAAGGGACAGGTACCTCGATGTATTTAAAAGCGCAAAATTTAGAATTATTGAATCAAGTGTTTTCAAGTAAATGACAGAGTTGATTAATTGCTAAAAGAGAATCGCTTTTATCAGCCATACCAAGCTGGTGGCAGGCAGGCAACGGTTTTGGCATCATCAGCCATGGTCGATCCACTGCTAGATTGGCCTCGCCAAGCCATCGTCGCCCCCCACGATCCTGCGATGTAACAGTCTACCCAGCGCCTGCGCACGAGCTCATTTCATCGCTCCCCCCCCACCCCGTCTCTTCAGTGGACGTCCTTTTGGATGCGTTACAAACCTCGGCTAGGATTCTGCATGAAACTGCATTTGCATCGTCCAACCGTTTGATTTGAATTCACACAGCGGAGATTGTTGGTGGTCGTGGTGGCAGGATGTTACACCAGCACAGACGCCCTTCGTCGTTTCATTCTTTTCAACATCTGTACCAATGACTCACATTGGAACGAGCTTGGACTTCATACAAAGGCACCAAAACAACAGACACTGCGACAGGCACTGTGCACAATTTTCCTCCGCTAAAAATAGAGCGGTCGGGACAATACCTTGGCAAATTTTTTTACTTTTCTCTTGGCAAAGAACCAACTTTTTTTTTGCTTTTTACATAACCCTGCGCATGATCACTGAAGCGGCGACAATTCAGCCGAGCATATCCCGTTAAGTAGCGCCACGAAAGCGTTAACGTCACAGCAGGATTGCCACTCCTCTTCCAGACTATTCATCTGAGCAATGCCGTGTTCGCCCTTGGGAGATTTCAAGAAATGCGCTTCCGGTAGTTTCTTGTTTGTATCTATGTATGTTGAACTTCTTTTACACTGCACGTAGCCAACCGTGGAAATCAGGGGTGCAGGAAAGGACAAAAAACTTAACACAAAAAGCAGTTCTAAAGAGATGAGTTTTTCAATCTAGACGATTTAAAAGTGCAAAGCTCCAGCGGCTTGCTAATATTTGAAGGAAGAGCATTCCAGTTATCCTCAGAAGGGCATTTGAAAGCGCGTGATGCAGTGACCGAGGCAGTGCTTACAAAACAGCTTCTCGTCAACAAATACAAACATCACGTTTACTTTGAATAGGACCCTAATTGCTCCTCCGAAACCAATTTTCGGAAACAGTTGTAATCTCTCTGTGAATAATTTTAGAGAAAGCGTGTTGCCTTGTCGGACTCCCTTTTCACGCGTATTTTGACACTAGCAGTAACAAAATAGCAATAATGTTAACACTGTATTTACCGAGCAAGGCCGCAAATGAGGCTAACACCTTTTCAAAAAGGTTTGGCTTCGAATGGTGCATTTGCTCGTGCACATTTTTCCACGTCGGTAAGAAAATCATGGGCAACTTTCAAAAACCCACACGTACAATGTGATAGCACGAAAACAAAAAAAACATACGCAGGGTCCACAACCTACTTGCTGTACTTCCTTCGACAGGCGGATTCGCAGCTCTGCAGGCAAGCGTGCGGCATCTGAATTATCTAAGACCGCTGGAAATCACAAGCATACATTCATCATGGCCGGGACTTACTGTGCATCAAGGGAGAGAGAAGTCTACGTCCCCGTTTCACAGGTGCTGCATTATCGCGAATGAATGATTTACACTTGCACAGAGGTTGATATCCCTCGTTTATTGCATTGCCTCCGTGATACGTTTAACTCGGAGGGGGTTACGTGGATTGGTGTCTATGGTGTATAGTGTCAGCATTCCCATTTAAAAAATGTATCAAGGGTGCCTTCCGGCCCTTCCAGGTGTCGCACAATCAATTTGTTTGGCCACCGTTCCGAAGCGTGATGTTTTTACATTAAGTCGTGAGGCAAAGGATATTTTCCCGGCGCAGTTTATCGCATGTGGAAAGAGCAATTAACATTGTAAAGAGCTGTAATACGATTACGTCTGCTTAGCGTTGGAACAAACAAGTATTTAAATGCTGGGATTATAATTTTTTTCAGAAAAAAAGGATAAAGGTGCTCTTCGGCCGATGTAAATATTTTCACGCCGAAAAACATACGAATTCAACTGCTGCCATCACATATATATTGCGCAGATGACGCATTAGTGCGATGTTGAGCCCATGCTTAGCGGCAACGGACACGACAAAAGCTCCATCTGTTGATCTAAATGTGCAAGTGTGTCGACTGTGGCAGCGGCAGGTACAGCATCCCCTCACTAACAATGCCTTTTAGTTGACGTAAACGGCACAGGAAAGCTATTTGCATAAGCCACAGTTAAGCCGGAACACGATGTATAATAATCACTACGTGTGAGCATTCAGGGCTCATTTCAGCAAGCCTCCTATTAGATTCCAATTTGGATCAGCCTCTCGAATGTGTGTACATCAGCATTGCGTTTTTGAATTTACGTGCTTGCAAAAGGTCGCAAAAAAGCAACTTTTGCAACGAACCCTTGTGGGTTTGTTGGTGTTTTTTTGGTTGAAGCGACTGCTTGGTTTAAAGTTGTGCAAGGAGTCATTTACGAAAATGTTTGCTGTATTATTAAACAGCAGCAGCAGTTCGCGGCCAAAGTCGCCCTGGCTTTATTTTAGCAAGTGACGTCAGTCCAAGCTTACACAGTAATGCAAACTCGGTAAAAGCTTCAAGGACGGCGGAGAGTGAAAAGGATAAAGGACGATGGTGGTGACTGCATACGACAATGACTGAAGAATTACAATTCATCAAAGTGGCAAATATTGAAATATTTGGGCCACACAAAGCTGAAAACATCCTGGAATACCCAAAAACCTTTCCATCTTCCTTGGCTTACATCTTTTCTTTTTTCTTTCTTGCATTTGACAGGTTATTTTGATTGTTTGGAGACGATATTGTTAGTACAATTGATTTTTTTCTTAAATCGTAAAAAAAAATATATAAAATAACACATCAGTACAAAGGTCAGGGGCAAGCCAAGTCAGGCAATCAATTATAATGAGATCACTCACGTTTCTCTAGTTGATAACCTGTTGCTGCAATTTAGTCGACGGCTATAATAAACGTCGAGCCACAGTGGGACAACCGCCACTGCCCACTAAGAGGAAACTAACCGCTCTAATTAAGGCAGCAGCGACGTCCCAGCTGCAGAGTGCCTCGCCAGAGCTCGTTAAGGGCCTTAATGAAAACGTGGAAAAATTTTTTTTCTCTAAGTGGGTTTCTAAAAAAAAAAGAGGCAAGCCGAAATGATGCCCCCCCCTCTGTAAACGCCACCGCGGGACGCACCGAGGAACCCGCACACCACGAAGGCCGCGACGTCAAAGGGCTCCGACGATTACGCGGGGCAACGCGGCTCTGCGGACGGAAAAGCCGGCGCAGATAAATAAAAATTCCAAACGAGTCTTTTTTGCAAGGACACTCCGGGTGAAAGCGACACGTGGGTGACTCATTGGTATTGGGTGGCGCAGTGTATTAAGAGTTTTCATACTTTGCTTCATTCCGGAAGCCTCGACGAAAAGCAATTATCTGCGTTGAGGTTGCATGCAATTCACACCTCTGTAGCAGTCATGGCAAATCTAAAGCAATCACACGGTCATTAGCATTGTATATCATCCGATCTGTTGATGTTAATATGGTAATGCTAGCGTATGTTACATGGAAAGAGAAAAAAAACCCCATCACACTAATAATGATGTCATGGAAATGTTTGCTTAAAACAAAGTCAAACGTTTAACATGGCAACGATGGGATGCGCTCACGGTATGGACAAAACAATGCTCCGTTCGGAAATAAATTCAACAACTGCGTCCGTGCGAGTGTCTGTGCATGTGTGCGTCCGTGTGCTTTGTGTTCGCCGCCTGCAGCAGGCTTTTTTCAGCTGTGCACCACTCGCATGCACTGTAGAGCTCATGCACACGCTCATACATTTTAAACAGCCCCGATGGAAGGAAGACACTCGCATCAGACGGCAGCAGCCAGCCAGCCACAGAACGAGCGCAGCAATGTCATCCGGTGACAATGCAAAGGGGGTGCCTTGCCATTGGCCGCTCTGAACAGGTGATCAATAGTTGAAAGACCTCGCGATTAAAGCAGGGGGATAAAAAAAGACACGCGAGAACAAACACGGAAAGCGCGTCACAAAACGACGGCTATCAAAGCGCACCATCAGTGCACATTAAAGACCCTGTGAGGTCATTCGCAAGAGGAGGCCACCGTGGGCCAGTGCTTCGGCCCAAATGCAAAGAAAACGTCACACACAGAGACTTGTAATATAAAATAAAATAAACTGGAAAAATGGGCAACTGATTTGAAGATAAATAATGAATTGTGAAAATATGAAATGTCAAATGCATTCTCTTTTTTTTGTATTTCCATCCGATTGACCATGAAAAATGGCTTCTTCAACTACGATTATCAATCCTCAGCCTTTCACCTCCCTGCAAAAGAAGGCCAACGGCCCAAAATATGATCTCTTTACATATATTTCTCAGTTGTAAGGCAAATTTTCGAGGTGGGGGGCGGGGCGGAAGCAGTGACGATGGCGGTGAAGTCTGTTCAAGCTGCGAGCACTCAAGACGTAAACTGCGCGGGTCGACGGCGGTTCCAACTCGTCCAGACGCTCGCATCGAGTCTGAGAGACTCACCGTGAGGGGTCGGTCAGCCGAGTCCAGGATGTCGTCCATCTTCTCGTCAGCGAACATGCGGCGTTCCAGCAGGGAGGACTTCTTTTTGGTACCCGTCAAGTTCACCAGGTGGATCTACGGATAAATGGATTGTTACACGTGTTACGTATGTTGAACTTGTTTTGCATCGTACATAGCCAACCGTGCTCATAGAATTTGCTCGACTGCGCAGGATTTCTTGCTTTTTGTGTTTAGTTTGTTGTCCTCACCTCGAACCTCCAATTTGCACGGATGGCTACATTCGGTGCGAAAGAAGTTTAACGTACGTACATGCATTGTGGTTTTGCTGATGAGCTCTCCCGATGTGATTTCGGATTGTGCCTCGCGCGCGTCGTTCAGCATGGTGTCGCACTTGTTTAGGAACGGAAGCTCCCAGCACGTGGAGCGGAAAAAACCACAGACATCGTGCCGAACAATACGCGGTACACGACCGGCAAGATTCAAGAACGATCACGGCACCGGTGCCCCGTGAACTTCACTCATTGCTTCCCTCTCACTCACGTTGAGGATTCGACTGCTAGACCATTTCACCTCACCCTAATTGTGTTCAACCACCACACTTTTCGAACAAAAATCTTTCCCTTCTGCTTATCCCCTCGCACTGTTCCGCCACGGAATTCCCTCCCATTGTCACGTTTCTCCAAGCTCGTAGAATAACCTCGCCCCAACTCATTGAAACCAATTAAATCTTATCCAGCACGCCTTCAAATCGAGCTGTTTGTTGCCGACCGCTTGGGATTTCGGGTCTTCGGTCCTTGCACCCGGGCACGCGCGAGATTCAACAAAAAGAAAATGAAACGGCGCGACCGACCGACCAACCGACCTTGATCCAATCGAGGCCGCGTTCGCCCAGCGGCCGCCCCTCGGCGAACAGCAGAAGGGCACGTGACATGTCGCTGCCCAGGTGGTTGAAGTGCGGCGGGCATGGGTAGGTGCGCCCGCGGAAGTCCATGTTGTGCGGGAACCAGAAGACGCGGCCGCGCATCGCGTTGGCGATGGACAGCTTGTAGAGCGCACTCATGCGGAGGCTGTGCATCTCGCTTGTCGTCTTGCGCGCGTGCGTCAAGGCGCGCCGGAAAGCCAGCCGGTCGGCGATGCCGTTCTCACCCGTTGGGTCGTACCTGCGCCGGGTGGTGGGACAGAGCGTGGTTTGATGCTTGGGTTGGCTTGTTCATTTCGGGTTAGGGGGTGGGTTTCTGTGTTGTCGATAATCGTAAGGGTTAAATTATTAAAATTCCTTTATCGGTTTGCCACACAGATAGGAATATCCAACAGTAACCGCCAAGCCCTGTGTGCGAGTCTGCGCCCGTTGGAACAGTTTCAAGCTGTGACAACTTGTGACAACTTGAAACTGTGCAACTTATAATTTGAACATTTACAGCAATATTTTGTCAATACGCTGCTGGATGAGGGCTTTCCCATTGCATGCGAGCTGTGGGGTATTTGATCATAATTCACCATGAACGCTGGTGAACGGGATTGGTGGTGGGCAGCATAGATGTGAGAACATATAAGTAGAGTAAAACAAAGGATTTACTGCACTACCCTCTGTTGCCAAACAACAACAAAAAAATTGTAATCAGGCGGAGTGAAATGCTCAGCGCTCCTGAAAAGCGATCAGGCCATCCGAATTAATGGAGGCTCGCTTAATTCCAAAAACAAATACAAAACGAAGATCTTTCCACCTCCGACCCCCCCCCCCACCGGCTACCTGGGCACTTTGGGAGCCTCGGAGAGAGGCGGTGGGATGTCGAGCTTGTCGCAGCCGCGGTCGTTGAAGATGGCGATGACGATGTCGAGCAGCGGCTCGTTTATGATCCAGGAGCACGCCCCAGTTGGTTCAGCACGTCCATGGCGGCATGCAAGCGCCGCGCCTCCTCAACCTGCGCCAGTCAAGTTCAGATGGGTCAAATGTTGAGGTCAAGGCCCAGCCATGCAACAAAAAGAGCCCCCCCCCCGCCTTGAGAGTGAGAGAAACATCTAAAATGTGTGTGCTTGTGTAATGCCCTTCGTCAAATATATCTACCAAGGCCTGCCTAGCAAATGAATACTAGTTGTGGAGAATGTTAAATAAAAGCAATAGAATAAATAAGCAGATGAATATGCCTTTTCTTCACGTATCTGTCCCTCCACAAAAACAAAGAAGTACACTGAGTGTCAACACCAGTCCAGAGGGTGCTTGTGTTGAACCAATTCTGCTGAAATAACCCACCAGCAGCAGGCCGTATGGCTAATTGGGATACGTAACAATGAGGTCATTGGTGTACCGTTTTGGCAGACATAGCCTTGATGTTTTTCCACCTTTTCCTGGTCCTCAATTTGACAGATCAGCTTTTTGTGGCTTAATCGTGCCCAGCCTGCGCTGTTGTGAACACAAGTCAACCCACTGCAGGATAACAGCCTCCTCATGCTGTCGGCCATAGCAGTTGTTTGACCATACTTCACCACGCTGGTAAATGCAGGTAGGTGAAGGTGGGATGTCCAGGACCGGTTCGAACATCACTCGCCGCTGGTATTAGTTAGCTCCGGCTGGGATTCAAACTCAAACTACCATGTTCATAGTGCAGTACGTTAATCGCTGCGCCACCGCTCCACCCCACATTTGAAATGAGCAAGCAGAAACCCAGCGTGCCCTCGACGTCACCTGTGAAGACAGCTGCAGCGAACAGAAGAAAATACCCGGCAAGCCACCGCTGAGTTTAATACGGAGCGATGTAAAATATGTGCGAGATGGAGGCAAAGTTGCGGTTAAGGCGCTTTAAGCCATGGCATTGAGTCGAAGGTGAAGCTACCAGATTTCGCCAAGCCATTTAAAGAAATACAAAACTGCCCAAGTATACGGACACAGAAGCGAAAATTTAAATATTGATGAAACTGTTAAAAAGCGTCATTAGGTAACACGCACTCACTACATAAATGAAGCCAGACTTTAAGAACTCTCCTCTTTTTGTCGAGCTCAGCATCATTTAATTTTAAAAAGCTTTGTTTGGGTGAACAACCACAGAAAAAATTTCCTGACTCAACCCGAAAACTCTGAGCAAATGATCACTCTGGGCTTATTACGCGCAGAGGACAAAACTGCTGAAACGCTACCCGCGCTCACGCCTGTGCGTGCTGCAGGTCTCTGCCACCGTGTTTCCAGTGGCACGCCCAAGCCGAGCCAGCACAAGGCCCTCACAGCATGGGTGGGTTCCCACCGGCTATTTGCCGAGACGAGCCGAGACGAGCCAAAACCAATCCATGGAACGCTTTCCTCACAAAGCAGGTGAATCTGGCTCAGGGCCCAGCAGGGCCAGGGGCGGGGCCTAATGGCACGTTCGTTGCATGTGATGTCACATGCAACGAACACAGCATCAGTTGTGTCAACGACTCGCGTCTCTCGGCTGGCTCATTGCACATGACGTCAAGTCGATACGGAAACTCAAACGCGTCGTCATCGTGTCATCCATATGCATCAACGACTGGTTCGTCACATGTGACGGGCTGCGGCCCAAACTTTACTTTCGTGGTGAACAAAACAACTTGGTGCCTCCTGAGCTGTGACGGGCCCTCGCCGCGGGCCCCAGCACGGCTCGGTTATGCGGCGGAAAAAGGGGTGCAGGGTCTCACCTGGCACAGATCAGCAGGTTCTGGTGCTGCGTGGCCATGTCCACGCTGCGCATGAGGGTAGTGGGTATCAGGACGTAGCCACCGAATCGGGGCGAGTCCACGCAGGGCGGGCAGGAGGTCGGCAAGGCCTGCACGTCGAAATGAAGCTCCGTCTCGACCGCCCTCGACTGCAGCTGAGTCACCAGGGGGTGCGGCTTAACGAAGCCGATCTTTAGGCGACCGGCGTAGCGAGCGTGGTCGTTGGTTCGGGGCAGGGAGAGACGCAGAGCAAGGAAGAGAGAGAGGAGGGGCCGAGCGTAAACACGCGAGCAGAAGCACTCGATAATAGACGCAATTACACGATGATCAGCGTACACTTCACCATCCAAAGCGCTGGCAACGAGCAATTTCCAGAGGCTGGAGAGGAGGTTTCCATCATTGTGCTAAAGGTGAGTTCCTCCGGGCCAACCTCATCAGTGGGGAGCCGTGCCTTTTTTGCACCACCCACCACGGTGCAATACCTCGGAGCCCCCTGATTTATTGTGTCGTGTCACTTGACAGCCATGCAGAGATTTTTCAAAAGCCATCGGCTGGAGAGTCCTGTTTTGTTTATGGGGTTTTTGTGTGATTACTTGATTTGAAATCACATCCGCAACAGAAAACATGAATGCTAAATAATAAGCAATGTGAATGGAAATTGCATCTCCCATGAATATTGAGTGCATGGCACTGCCAGTGCAGGTTTCATTTCATTTACTGCGAATTAACATTTTTTTTAAACAGAAACGCTCAACTCCTAACTTGTAATTAAACAAGTTTTCAAGCTAAACTGTGCACATTTGTAGGGCTGCCTTGCATTTAACCACGTCCACCTATTATTACAGTGAACATTCCAGAACAAATACCAGTATCGCCTTCAATTCCAAATATTTTACATTCAACTGAGAACATTGGAATGAGGAATGGGAGCCTTTGCTAAAAATGGTGTACGGCTGAATGTAGGCAGGCCATACAAAAAGAACAAATTAAATAAAGTTGACAAAACAATATCACTTTTCAAGATGTGAACAGTCCATGCAAGGAGCAAGTGGGTGATGTGTGTAAATCAAATACGACAAAAAATAACATTCGGCCTGATAGCGAGCTAGGTGTAATAGGCGCTGAAGTAAATGTCACTACACATCAGTTATACAATAAAGTATTTTTTAGAAGATTTACTTTACCCATTCATTTATTTCACTCCTAACTGCAAGGACAATTTGTTTGTTTATCTCTGCAAATCTTGTCAACACCAACACCCCTGCGTGGATATTTGCACAACAAATCCCACAAACAGGGGCAGGAGACCTTCAGCAGATATCTGCCGTGACTGCGCGACGCTGGAATGATGGAAATTGTACAAAGCGGGCGGCTTCTATTACCGGGCCAAGGAATAGCAGGTGGTCTTTGCAAGTGGCGATCATTATCGCTCTGAATCACGCTCATCATTCCAGCAGGCAATTTCATAGAAAAATTGCTTTGATTTTTCATGGAAGCGCTGGGGGCCCAGTGATTGCGTGTATGTGCGTGAGGGCAGCTGGGGTGTGCATTAGGGACGCATTCTGTCGAGCCAGTGTGTGGTGATTTCTCATTATTTAACCCCTTCGAGGGGCACTCACCCACTTCTAACAGCCACTAATCATCTTTCTTTTCAGCTGAACCGTTGGAAATCGCAGATGAAAAAACACAATGCGTTAAAGCCTCCCGTCGAATGCCTATTGGTTGAAGCCAATACAAAGGGACCTCCCCCCCCCCCCCTCAGTGGCTTTACAAATATATACATTTTAGTATCGCGACAAAGTATTAGGTCACTGATTCTCCATAGGCGTATCGTACAATGCATCCTCCGAAAGTTTGATACCCGCGCTCTAGCCAAATAGCAGGCGACAATCTGTCAATGACACTCCCCGGTGACACTAACTTTCAAAGAGACAAAGTCAATACATTCTACGGAATGATAATACTCTGGCAATGTTTTTCGATCGTAGCAAACATACACACGCACCGCACATTCACATCATTGCACTACTCCATCTGCATTGCCATCATCATGATGATCATCCTCAGCCTAAATCAATCCACTGCTGCATGAAGGCCTCCTGAATCCATCCGCCATCCGTAACAACCCGCGATCGGTAACAATCCATCCAGCTCCTCCACACACGAGCCAATATCATCGCTCCATTGACATCACCGCTCTGGAAAACCCGAGTGAGCATCGCGAACTGCGGTCAAGCACTGCTCGTGCATTTCCGCCATTGCTAACGACACCGTGCGGTGCCAATCATCATCATCAGCAGCAGTGGCCGTACCTGGCGCACGCTGCGGAAGCGTACACGTGGTAGAGCGCCGGGATGGGTTTGGTGCCCCTGGCCAAGTCGGTGGAGCCCGTGCCGGCGTACACCTTGAGCTCGCGCACCATGATGTCGAGCAGGTACGAGCCCAGCGTCACGGTCACCGGGACCGTCCACTCCACGGTCTCGCCCGACAGGCGGTACCCGTCGGCCACCTCCGCCTCGACGCGCTCCCAGAACTGGCGTGGCAGGTAGCCGCTCACCTGCCACCGACGGGAAACGTCACAAAACAAATATTGGGCACGGATAAAAAACGACAACGCCGATGATGCAAAGCAGCCGGAACGTGCCCCGATTCTGGATAGATCTCGGAAGCCAAGTGGGGTTTGGCCTGAAAAGTGCTGGCAGGGGCGATCACCGTGCATGGAAGAGGCTGCTGCCGGGTTGCCCCATCAGCAGGGGGCAGTGCAACAAAATCGTTGGAGTGCTCTGCTCTACTCAAACATTTATGCTCCCGCTGTCACCGACCACGCTGACCAGCGTGAAGTAAGGTCAAGAAAACCCTCACGACTCGACACGTGTGGAGGGTCCTTCATGCGGCAGTGGCTGGCAAAAGGACTGCAAACCATTATATTTTTTTGTAAATGGTTCCGCCATAATCCACAATCTCCAGCGAGCTCTTCCCCGTTGCAGCTCCACGGAATGAGACGTGGAGAGGTACCAACATGCGTTTAGATTATTTAGAGAATTGTGCTGCTATAAATTTCCACACGTTGAGCTATCATTTGTGGCCAGGTGACTTCTGAAAAATAAGCTAAATAGTTCAGTGGCCTTTACCTGGCAAGATAAAAAGTAAAATGTTATTTGACTATTTTGTAAGTGATTCGTTATCTTTCCTATACTTTGCAATCATATCGTGTTTTCCTAATGCTTGTAACATTCTGGACATCTGTGAAAAAGAGCTTGTAAGCTCATCAGATTCCTCCAAGTAGAAATACATTTATTTTGATTCAGGAATAATCGCCCCCCCCCTACCTTGCCGTCAATGGCCAGCAGTTCACAGTAGGCGTCGTACACCTTGGAGATCCGCTGCGCGACGTGGTTTCGCATCTTCTTGCGGATGCAGTACATGTTGAAAACCTTTCTGCCCAGATTTCTGGAGAGCGACATCACTGAATCGCCATTGGGCGGCAGGCTGGATAAACTCTGCACACGAACACGAGGGCACATCAGTGACGAGTCAGCGGCGTCATCGCCGGCGTTACACGCGTTGAATCATGGGAATTAAACGGCACGGAGTTAAAACAACACATACATATCGTCCTCATCAGTACCCCAGCTAAGTGGTCCATGGGCCTAAGCATAAATTGACACTCCTAAAGGCAGCAAAAACCTTAGTTGTACCAATTTAATGAGCAAATTATTTGATCTACTCATTTCAAATGGTTATCATATTATTGGCCACATTGAGAAATGGGAAGCGTTAAAGTGGTGCCACCTCAGGTGGTACCGGCAAGTGAGATAACCGCTCTGGGCTCATGGAGAAGAGCAAGATTTGGCATCGATTCAAACACATAAAATGGATGCAATAACCTAAATGTGTTTCACAATATCCCTCACCCAATACATTTTCTAACAATGATTGCGATACATTTTTTTGCAGAGGCCAGACAGCCTGCTGGTCAATGTCCCCACCAATGAGGCAATTTGTAGATAATGTCATTAAAGAAATATGTAAATGTGCCATAATCTAGTAAAATATTTACATTAAGAACCCATCATTTACTTGCAGTTCCTAAAGGCTACCAATGTTGCATCCCATGTTTTGCACGTGATAAATAACTTGCAAACTAAACAAATTGTTAAACAAATGCTTAATGAATAAATTATTTTTACAATTTACTATACGGTATTGGGAAAATGGATAGTGAACCAAAGTTCAACATACATACAAGCACGCAGAAAAACGTAATTTATTTCGACTTAAGCTAACCGCTCGTCTGCATATGTGTCTTTTTATTGACAATTTGCGAGTTCATGACATCCCACTGCCGCTTGAAAGAAGTTAAGTGGGCTTGGAGCACGACACAGTACGATGATGGCCGGTGGTCGAGACTAACGACATGGAGAGAGAACGCGCCCAAGAGTGCGTCCACCTCAGAACAGGTTCCATAAACCTTTCTGGTGGGCCAGCAGCAAGATGGACGGTCGCATCACGGGACCGTGAAGGACGTCGAGGGCTTGGGAGATCTTCATCCAGCAACCGATAGATCGTGGCAGCGCATCGTATGTGCAGAGAGTGTCGCTGCTCACAGCGACGCCGTCTCACCTCCAGCATGGCGTTCACGTACTCCTCGTCCGTGAGCAGGCACGTGTAAGGGTACAAGTCCAACTTGAAGCTGCAGCCGAACCTTCTGGACATTAGCTTCTTCTTGCCCTCCGCGAAGGCCTGCAGCAAGGTTGCCCGCCACTCCTTGTGCAGCTCTGTCAGGGCCTGCCGCTACATGCAACAAAGACAAAGATCCCCCGTATAGCCTTAACAGACTGTTGGGGCAAGTGCTGTTAGCGAGAATCTATGAAGGCCGGCACGGCACACGGGGGGTGGTTGGCCAACACCACGCCCGGCCGCCTTTGTCTTCCCAGTGGTGATGTTTACACACCGCACCAGGTACTCATTTGAGGCTGAGTTCACCTAGGGGAACCTCACGACTGGTTCAGATGATCGTCACTGGTGCTGGCCGTGAGAGGGAATCGAACTCGCGTCGCCAGGTTCGTAGCGCAGCGTTGTAACAGCTACACGACCGCTACACGCAACACACGTGCGCGCAGAGGGGAACGATGGCAGCAAGGTGGCTATGGCATGTGCTAAGAGTGTTGTCGGTTTGAGAGTAAACGTCGTGCACAAAAATCTGAATCGGATCAATGAACGCAAACCGTGCGCCGAGTGACAAGCTTGACATTTTTACCGAATCGTTACAGCGCATTATGTTCTTGTTCATTAAGAAAAGCAAGTGGGCTCTCGGGCAGACTGCATCACCAGAAGGGAACGATGGCCGGGTGGTCGAGACTAACAACCGAGTAGCAGCCAAGGGAGGGAACTCGTCCGGGAAGACACCCGTCCCGGAAGCAGAGCGATGAATTCGACTCGTCTGGAGGTGCTCAGCGAATTGTCTCAATGCAGGACCATGAGCAATTGCAATGGGTTGAGGAAGCCTTCATCCAGCAGTGGATTGATCGTGGCTGATGATTACAATACAAAGTTTGCGCGTAACATTGTGGGTATGCAACTGTATCTCAAGAGAGAAATTGTAGCATTTAATCATTAACTTATTTGTTCAGGTAATGAGGCTTTCGGAAGGTGCAGAGCAGCAAGGAAGGAAAGGTGACGATGGAATTGCAAAGTGCAAATGGAGACACTTCGGACGGAAGAGAAAGTCGCTTCTAGTTAGAGGAGAGGAGGAAAAAGCTTGAGCCGGCGGATGAGATTTTGGATGCCCGGACAGCTGTGGAGAAGGTGGTTGACCCGAGGTTTGGACAGGGAGGAGGAGAGCTTGGTTACCGGAGCGGAAAGCAAGAGAGTGGAACAAGCGGAGTTGAGAGATAAAGGGTCAGTGGGGGCGACCCCAAGGAGGATCCTGAATTTGACGAGGGCTGAATGGCGGGAGCCATGGAATTTGGAGCGCACCTGGGTGATATTAGTTAACGTATTTTTGAGTACCACCGTTTGTGAGCAAAACCAACAAGGATCATTCTATAGAAAAACTGACCCCTGGCAAGGGAATGTGGAATTTCCTTAATTGGCTAAGGGCCAGCCACAGAGATGGTGCTGTCCCATTTCCCGCTCCAGCAGAGACACTTGAACTCATTGATGTTCCGATTGCAACACGACGTTTCTATTGCAACACAAGCACTCATCATCAGGTACAAATGGAAGAGAAAACAAACCTAGTAAACTTAGGAATATAATACATTATATTATTTACTTTATTATGTTCTCTTTCTATGTGACTTTACCCAAAGAACCAAATCAAGTTTTCATTGAGTTCAATTTACCGAATGGTGCTGGCCCATTGGTGGATGGCAAAAAAGCATCAGTGAAGCATGCGCATCACAACAAATACTTTAACTGCGGCTTAAAATAAATGGCAGCAGTGCTTGGGATTACAAGTTCAATTCTATTGTGAAAAAAAATGTTTAATAATGTACGCAAGTGCGGAAAGCTAAATTAATCTTATTGTGTCATTGGCAACATTGATATGGGAGGTGACGCACGCTCCCCGGGACAAAGCACGTAGGATACGCCACCAAAAATTCAAATTCACACCCACCACACGAGGAGGAAGGGCCCCTTGCATGAGCTGGCGATGAACTTTCGGTATCCTTCAACACCTTTTGTCAGCACGAATAGGTGCATGTCTATTTGGGGAAGGTGAATAGGATGTTGCCAAGAACAGGGCCCAGAAATAGACTTTTTGTTGCGTGCAGTGACATTCACTCAGTAGAGCCTCTTTAGGGAAATAAGAGTGTGCGCGCTGGTAACTAAAGATACACTCCTCCGAGGGAGTGATGCCCTTGTCTGGGTGCACGACTTTTGGAATACATGGGAGGCACAAGCCTATCACTCTTTAAATGGCTCGCCATCATGGCCCGCACAAGCACAACTTAATTTTTTTTAAATGCAGATAAATCCCGTGGTCAGAATCAGGTTCCCGAGGGTATCGGAAAAAAAACTAAATAAAACCTAAAATGAGAGCTACAAACTAAATTTCCGCTCGGGCTGATTCAATGTAGGCCACATCACTCAAGTTGCCGGAGAAGCGAAAACAACGGCAAAATGCTCAAGTGCGTCGGCAGGAAGTAACAGTTTCCAAATATAATTGCACCTCTGGAATTCTATTATGGCTTTTTACCCCATGGCTGCCGGGCACCCATGGGCAGTGGAACCAGCAACGGTGTCGAACAGCCTGAGTGCAAAGCAATTGCAGAGGTCACTGGAGGTCAGCGAGAAAACACAGACGGTAACAAAAAAATAAGCTCTATCACTGGCATCCTGTGGGAGAGAGCGCTGAAGAGAGTCTTCTCGACAGCTCTTTACATTGCACTGTATCCCCAAAGCCTCTGACGTCCAAACTAGCCATTGGTGTCGATCTTCAGAAGACGTTCTCCAAAACACGATGTAATATTAATCTTACACTTTCATTTGAAAGATTTATCACGCATGCGAAAATATCCTAAATGACTCCAGGTGGCCCGGGGGAGAGCGTAATGTGCGGGATGCCAACGGGAAACAACGAGGTGGTCCAAGGAAGGCGTTTCTGACATCGCACACTCCTGAGAAATGCTATGAAGCCCTAATAAGTTGTCGAAAGACAATGAGGACATCCTTAAATGTCACGAGGCCCGTTTATGGCCATTAGCACCTCCGATTAGCACGGTTGGTTACGTACGGTGCGAAAGAAGGTCAAAACGTCCATACATCAAAAACAACAGCCCCTAAAAAAAAACGTTTCCACGCAACTTTTGAAAGCAATTCGCTGTTTTCTTGCATCATGCCAATGAAATAAAATCGTCGAGGCTTGACACTGGCTCCCTCTTCTCAATCAAAATAACCTCAAAAAATGGTTAAGTTGTCATAGGCTTGTGCAAAAAAGGGAACTGATTAAGCCATTAAGGAACACGTTACTCCAAATTAACATAATTGTCATTTTCTTCTCACTGGGAGGCATATAGTATGCATAACAAAAAAACAAGGCCCTCATAAAAAGGGAGAGAAATCAAAAACCTCGAGAAAAGGGTTTATTCGTTTCAAAACATTTCGAGGGTGGTTTCATGATTTCACACGCGCATACCAAGGATGCCAAATATAAACATGATTTTGACCAAATGCTTTAGATTTAGTCCACCATATCAATGGTGCCTATCAGTTCTAGGCTGTGTGACATGCACAGACGCACACACCAGCAAAAGTACCTTTTTCTCCATCTCTGGCGTTACCGGTTTCAGGGCTTCCACCGATTGAATGGTGACAATGTGAGCTTTCTCCAGATCCATCTGCCTCCGAAAGCCCTGCTTCAGTTCTTCGGTCGTCTGCTTCAGCCTGGGGTAATTCCCCGAATTATCCTGCGAGGGAGAACATAAAAAAAACAAATGAGTTCCCCCAGAGTTGCGGTGGCAAGATGTTAAATACCTCGCTCAATATGCAGGAGGTCGTGGTTCGATCCCGACCCTGATACCTGTATATTTGGAGTTCGCATGGCTCTTTCCCTGTGGATTTTTCTCCGGCTCCTCCGGTTTTCCCTCCACATTTAGAAACGTGCGTTTAGAGTATTTTGCTGCTATAAATTTCCACATGATAAGCCACTTTGTTGAGCTATCGTTTGAGGCCAGGCCACTTCTGAAAAAGAGCTATATAGCTCAATGGGCCTTAGCCTGGTAAAATAAAAAAGTCTAGTTTAATTTTAGCTTTTGTTACAGCACATATGGTTTAAGCTCAAAGACTTTCTGCAATCACAAAAGCTGGTTACATGGTTGACATTTCAGCAACAATTACATTCCAACAATTCCACCAAAACCATAAATTGCCAATAAGTGCTGCGGCCAAGATACGGTACAGCACACACAAGCGGCACAGGAAGTAGCCGCACTATCCCACGGTGAATGCGGACCCCAAATTAACCGCAAACGTCAGGACGACGGATCCCTCGGAGTGCAAAGGAGTGCGAGTGGGGCTTCTCAAACATTCAAACGCTCGCCACCAAAAGCACCTCATTGCTAAGGGAGGGGGGGTACGTGGTGGTGGTGGGGTGGGGGTGTCAGTCGGGGACCGCCCGCAGTCGTACCAGATCGTAGAAGCGGGCGGAGAGTGGGAATTGATCGAGTGGTCTGGGCAGCATCGCCGTCGGCGCGTAGTCGGGCCGGACGCGGCGCACGGCGGCCAGCACCACCTCGCGCTCGTCCTCCACAAAGTTGCAGTGCGCAAACAGCTGGTCCAGCTCCAGCCCGTTCTGCTGCATCTCGTCCAGGCACCTACAACGACCGGCCGCGAGCGTGCCATGGTTAAACCCCCGAGCAATGGCGCGCGCTCACCGCCAAGCTGCGGGGTGCTTGGATCGCGCGTGAACCGTTTTCGCTTTGTCGATGGCTTCCAGCGGCCGTAACGTGCGTGTCGTATGTGCGCACATATATGCATCTTGAACTCTTTTGCACCGTACGTAGTGAACCGCGCTACTGGGAGGTGCGAAGTGTGGCCACAGTGTCAAACTGACACGCGTGACCGAGAAGCATGATCAAATTAACGTCCCGCGACCCACACAGCGTGCGAGAGGTCGCCGTTCAGTGGTGGACTGACAAAGATCAAGAAGAGCGGCGACATTTGAGTTGTACGCAAACAGCCGGCAATCACAGACATCACTTACTAATACAGGGATGAAATAACAAAATAAAAGCATTGTTTGCAGTACTTTTTTCAAACAAAAAAGCAAATAGGCTTTGTGAAAGACAGTAATTAAAAAAACACACATACGTGACAAGCTTCCTTCCATTCATCTCCCTACATTGCCTCTATTTCTATCTGCAAAAGGTGAACCATGCACCTTAACCAGGTCATCTCCGAGGCTTCAATGGCAGGATAACGAACTTGTCGGGAGGTTCTAGATTTGAAGCTTCGTGACTGCAAGGATTCATACTCTTTGGTTTTTTCGGTAAAGTCACGTAGGTTAAAAAAGAAAACAAATAAATTAAATCACGACGTTTCGGAGGCAACACAAGCTTCCGTCTTCAGGTGAAACCGTCACAGCAAAATTGCTGTATCAAGTAAAGAGAAGTCCCAAGAGGCACGACCTTATATACTGGTTAAGGGGGAGGAGCCAGGATGGGTCGCGGGAGAGGAGGAGTTGTGAGATGGTCAGTACTGCTGCTGGAACTGAGCCTTTGTAATGTAGATGGCAGAAGTAGATAAGCAAGCTAGGATTAAGCCGCCTTTTGTTATGCTGCTGGGTGGGTAAAATTCAAAGCAGGTAACTAAAGTAAAAAAGAAGCTAAACATGATAAGCAACGTGTGGTGATGTTGATGGTGGTGCGTGGAGCTGGGGTAACAGACTGGTAATATGGATATGTTTAAGAAGATAATCTAAACTGGCTGTCTATCAGTAAACTGCACGGTAACTAAAGTTTAACTTGGTTAATTACATCTTTCCAATGATTGCTCAATCTGAATCCATCATCTCGGTTGAAGTTATGTCTGTGTTTGTATATCTGGATGGCCTCATGGACAAATCTTTGGTAGTATCCAGGAGGTTTGCAAAGTACCTTGGTATCTGAGAACACAACGTCATGCGAGCCAGCAGTATTATAACAGTGGTCAGCCACGGCCGACGAATTCGTCTTGCCATGTTTCAAATCCGACTTGTGCTCGCGAATGCGGTCAGCAATGTGTCGTTTCGTTTCCCCGATATAGCAGTCACCACAGGTACAACTTAATCTGTAAACACCGGGTACTGTAATTCAGGAATGGCGTCCTTTACGGATGGGATCAGATCACGGATTTTGTGTACTGTATTGAATCGGACCTGGATCTTGTGTTTGTTTAGAATTTTGGAAATCTTTTTGGTAACGCCTGCTATGTATGGCAACGTGATGGTTTTGATCGGAGTTTCAGGTGGTTGTTTCTGCATGGTGGGAGAAACAGCTTGGCGGATAGTGCGGTCAGAGTATCCGTTCATCTTGAGGGCCCGATGTACATGTTTTAATTCAATGGCCAGGTGGTGTTGGTCAGAGATGCAATGAGCCCTATGATATAGTGTTTTGATGAGGAATTCCTTTGAGCCGGGTGGTGGTGGAATCAGGCTTCAAGTAGGAATCTGTGTGGGTGGCCTTCCTGTAAACAGAATGACCCAAAGAGCCATCGGGCCTCCTCTCAAACAGAACATCCAAGAATGGTAGCTTGCCATCTTTCTCCACTTCCATTGTAAATTTGATGGATGGGTGTCTGGAATTGTTATGCAGCTCATGGAGACGTGACATTTATTAAGTGCCAGGCTAGCCCAACGTTACATTTGGACAGCGCCGCACATCGTGTTTCAAAGAAAGACGGATGCAGACTGCCGTGGTCAAGATTTAGAGGTTATGTAACCGCTGTGGACCAGAGGTCAGAGCGCTGAGTTGGCACCGCTAAAGATCCTGGGTTGGAATTCAGATGGTCGCCTGTTATTAAAGCAGGTTCTCAGACATAGTGAGTCGATAGATTACTCTCAGTGGTCAAGCAGGTGGGAAAGTGCTGCCCCTTACGGTGTCAACCAGAGGTCACTTGAAGGGATCTTTCCTGATGCTGGTCATTACAACATGAAGCACAGGAGCGACTGATGAATTTAGTAACGATCACTGCAAAGGTTGGCTCAAGATAACTTGTAAACCGAAGTCACGTGCCACGCATTCCGTTTGCAAATGAACAATATCAGTTTGAGGGTCACAACCGGAAGACACATCAAACCACGTGTACCTACTAGGGCAGACCATGGTGAGATCAGCTCATGTACAAGAGCTGGATCGGTTGAGATGGAGACGGCTTGGCGAAGGCTTCATCTAGCAGTGAACGTTCTGACTACAAATGACCTCATCCGATGCCACCACACTCCTATCAAATTACAGCCCGCAAAAAACCTTGCTTACACACCATTGCAGAAGCAGTCGCAAAAACAAGAACACCAAAACAAATATGTAAACGCCCCGTCGGCGATTGCAAGGCCGGTCTGCCTGGGTTGCCTGGTCACGTGTGTCGTCTGCAGAGATTACAAACGTTCCGCTTAGGAGGACGCGGGAAGACAATCTGTCCCCAGGTTTTGGGCGGGCCCTCTGGGACGCGTGTGTCACTCAAAGCCCAAGGCATTAATACCCCCCCCACCCCCCAAATTTCTCGTGCTGCGTGGCAAAACAGCCGAAGCCAAAACCATTTGGCTTTTTTCTGTGTTGTCCAAGACAACCAAGCTAATCTGCGCACGACAATGGATTACAATTCGAAAGCCTCGTGCTGAGCATCATCCACATCCTCTTAGCTCTTCCATTGTGCTGAGTTCGAAGGTGATTATTCCGAGTGATAAATCCACTGGGATGCACACACTTCTTGAATGCAAGCGTGTGACAAATGAGGGATGTTTCCACTTTATTTGTTAAGCCAAGGGACACATTCGGCCCCACAAGATATTCTATTGACCCACAGCAGCATATCAGCAAGGACAATAGTGGGATATTAGCAAGGACAATCGCTGAAATGTCCCTGGTCTTTACAGAAACGATCTGTGGATTAATTAGGGTTTATGAAGCAAGACTGCTGCAAGGTAAAACATCTCTTAGATATGAATACGCCACGTACGGCACACAGTGCACCCCTAGCATTGCACAAGTCACTTTCACACCTGCATTTGTAAATAATGATTGTAGTCCGTTAGCATTGAAAACAAAAGGAAGTCAACCAGACAAACCAAAAGCCACTGACATCTCTAAGACAATGAAATATCACAACTTTACTGCACTTCACATGTTATAAAATGATTGTGAAGACATTCAACAGCAAAATTATTCAGATAATGCCATCCACAAAGTGACAGGAGCTATAAAAGACATCCGGAAAAAAAAAAACATGTTTTAAATGGGCACCAACCATGGGATCCATAATAACATCGAAATTCCTGGCTAGCGATTAAAAAACATTGTCGCACGTTATTTAAAACACACTGCCATTCGCTTAGTTAGAAAACTGGATTTCTCCCATCAGTAGACATCATGTAATAAAAGGTTGCAAGGCATTACTACAATTGCTCAAGGTGCGGTGTGCCAGTACCGTTTAATTGAACATACAAACTGCACATGAGAACAATCGTTCGTATTTACTAAATGCTGAATTACATTTTTGTTTTATGTTTTATCATCAATAACAAATTAAAATTGGCGAAAATGCATTGGCAGTAGTGTACAAGCACAGATTACAAAATAAAACTCAAAACATATGTCAATAACACTGCCATAAAAGGAAAGAAATATATAAATAGGTTCCATTTTGAGCAATGGCACTTCTTCATAGTTCTATGCTATTTAGAGTAGAACCACTGCCTAACAAGTGACCTTTTATATGTTTATTTTTAGGGCACTGATATTGACAAATTTACTGAGTTACTCTATTTTATTAGCTGGATCGGTGTCACTGCAGAAAGAAATCCCACTTCATATATAAGGCTCTGGGTTTCATTAAAATATCAAGCGCTGATGTGTCGACAATGCAGTTTAATAGGACTCAAATTGTACCGCAAAATACAATTACACCTATGTTATTCCAATTGTTTTATCCATTTATTCTGAAAAAATGTTTTTTTTATACACATTTATTTAGGAATAAAAACCATTCTTCAGATGTAAAAAAAGGAAGTTCCAGATGTCAACACAAGCAATCATCATCAAGTGTGAAAAACAACAAGAAAATTTGAAAAAAGTGGGTGTGTTTTTCACACCTTATGATGATTGCTTGTGTTGCAGTCGAAACGTCGTGAGAATTGTATTGTTTTATATTTTTATTATTTTATTGTTTCCCTTCTAAGTGACTTTACCGAAAGAACCAAGAATATGAATCCCTGCAGTCACGAAAGCTTCAAATTAAGGTTTAACACATGTATCAGAAACACGGACAGTGACAAAGTAAATGGAAGAAAAGCTAAAAAGTGCCCAAAAAACATGCAAAAGCACTTGCTTGAAATTACACTGACAAACACAAAGATACACACAAATTAAGATATATTCGATCGAATGCAAAGCACATCAAGAGAAGTGCATGGGTTTGGGCAGGACACATCCCAGAAAGGAGAATGGCTGATGGCCGATACTGACGGTGGAGTGGCAAATACGGGAACATGCCCCAGAGGTTGAGCACCACAGAAGCAAAGACGACATCAGTTCAAGTGCATGAGCTGGATGGATTGTTGCATCGCAAGGCAGTGACATGTGGTCAACAACTTGGGTGTTTTGAATCCAGCAGTGGATAGCTCATGAATGATGATGATGATGTTGTGTTTATGGGTACTTAACTTTTTACTTTCGACAGTGAACTGCTGCCCTGGACTGAAATAATTCACAAAAAATTTTGCCCAACCGCTCGTAAAATCTCACAATCCAATAGAGCTAGATAGCTCTCACACTGTTTGGTTTGAAATAAACAAATCCCGAAACTATCAATGCAATGAGAAGATAAAAAAAAACATATTTCAGCACAAGGATACTCATAAGAGACAATTTTCGAGCCTAAAGTGGCCATCTCCGTGTGCAGACCACAGCCATGCAGGCAAATGAACGGGAGGCAGCGGAAATCACGGAGGACGGTGATGGACAGACAGACACGCGCGTCACGATCTGTCCACACCAAGACCGGGCGTTCTGACGGCGGAGGATCCGTTTTCCGAGAGCGAGCGAGCGAGCGAGGGGAGACACACAACACATGGGGGGCACGCCTGCACCGCAGCTCCCTGCCGACCACTGCACCGCGAGAATACTGAAGAACATTATTATTAATGGGCACAGTAATATATACCTGGCGGCAATCACTCACGCACCTTTTGCTTGTCATATTTTTCAGGCTTAGAAGCGTCGCGCAGCCCACTGATATTCCCCCCCCCCCCCCGACGTTCGTATTCCTTGACTTAAAGGGGAGACGTAAATTCTGGTTTGAAAACCCCATTTGAGCAAAATCAAGCGATTGACCACAGAGACAGATATTGGTCAAATGAAGACGGTCCTCTGCCCTCACAAATGTTTTTTCCCTGCACTCCGACAAATTACAAGCAATGGTTTGCTCAGGTCCAATACCCCAGCTTGCTGTATTATTTATGAAGTAAGGAACTAGGTAAAGTCTTGAGGAGCAAGCGATCCATCTTCATCTCAGTCATTATTCATTAGGTGTTTTTCAATCAAAGGCATGTTGCACATACCCTTGGCAGCAAAACAGCTATGGCACATTTTGCAATGTAGCTACCACCTTTAAGGAAATGTCAACACGCCTTCTGTTCCGATTTGTACCGCTGTAATTGTCAACCAAACAAGCAGTCACACGCAGTAAAAAATTTTATTTTTTCTTCAGTCGAACAACATCATTATTCTGGAGGCGTATAAAGAAGCATCTTTGCAATTTTGCATCTAAGCAAGGCATCTGTTCGACGCATATTTGCACCGTAACAAATAAAACGTGCATGCAACCTGCTGCTGCTGCACAAACAGGAGTGTGCGCCGCACTTGCTAAAGGGCAGCTTTGTAATCAGAACGACTGCAACAGAACATAAGTTAGAGTAATTTAATTAAG